TTAGTTTTCGGCGGACACAACATCTTTGTTTGTATGTGGTGCTGAGGATCGAACCTGGGCCGCACGCATGCCAGGCGAGCATGCTACCGCTTGAGCCACATCCCCAGCCCCTTAAAATTTTTTTAGTTGAGGATGGACAGGATACCTTTATTTAATTTACTTATTTTTATGTGGTGCTGGGGATCGAATCCAGGGCTTCACACATGTGAGGCAAGCGCTCTACCACTGAGCCAAAACCCCAGCCTGCACAATAGAGTTTTCAAAAAAGAAGTCCTGAGTTGGGCCTGGTGGCAAATGCCTGTTATCCTAGTAACTCCAGAGGCTAAGGTAGAAGGATCACAAATTGGAGGCCAGCCTGAACAATGTAGTGAGACCTGTCTCAAAATAAAAAATAAAAAGGGCTAGGGATGTAGCTCAGCAGTAAAGTATTCCTGGGTTCAATCCTCAGCACCAAAACCCAAACCAAACCAAACAAATAACAAGTCCCGAAGAGTCAAACTTCAGGGAACCATAAAAGAATGCAAGATTTAAGCAATCATGTGCTAAGATTTCTCTGAAAAGGAAGAAGAAAGCTATCAAAATAATGGCATTCAGAACTCATACCAACGGACACCCCACAGTGAGAACCAATAAGGTTGATGTTGATTTGAGCGATGGCTCCCATGCGGATCTGATCAAATGCTCGGGTCAAAAAGGCAGCAAAAGTGCTAGCAAAAGCAATGGTCCGACCACGGGTGGCACAGCCCAGTGCCACGCTCACCTGCAACACAGAGAACATGAATTAGAACATCCCTGGACCCTTTTCCCACCTAATTTAGATAGCAAAGTCCCTATGATAACTCCTATTCTGGATATTTAAGACTGCGCTGCAGTCCTAGCATGTTTCTTTTCTGTTCTCTTCTTTCTCAAACCTTTTGTACCCTCATTTCCTGCTTTTCATGCTCTTATGGGACTCTTATCTTGATACCTTCTGAGGAATGAGAAATGAAGAGATGAAGTGTTTCACATCTGCCCCATCCCTTCCCACCTGGCTCACCCAGTGTCATGGTCCTACCTCTCCTTCAGAAGGGCCTGCCTACTGGTTATCCTAGATCCCTTTCTTCTCTTGCATTCTCAAGTGTCTCCAACATGGTGTCTCCAAGTATACAATGATCCCCCCATGCCATTCAATCAGATTTTCCTTTTCTCTTGTATCATCTTATTGCCAGTCAATACCCGCCAGTACCTTCCATTGCCACTCTCCTATTCTGTCTTATCCTCCCTCCAGAGACTGTCCCACATCTAAGTACTTCACAGAAAACTTCATAGAAAGTCATCTATTGTTATTGTCCCCACTGTCTCATCTCCCATTTTCTCCATAGCCTACTTCATCTAGGTTGCCAGCCCCATAAGTGACCTTGAGGCTGCCAAATGTGAGTGGTCTCCTGACCTCAGCTGGCATCTCACTTGGCCTCTCAGAAGCATTTGGCTCAAGAAGTCACCCTTCTTTTCTCAAAGCATGTTCTGCTGGAGGTTTCCGTGAGGTTGTAATGGGACCAGTCCTGCTGCTTCATTGGACTGTGCACCTCTTGTTACTCTGATACGCACATTTTAACAACCCCTAATTTATTCCTTACTGTCTCTGCAAGTCCAGGCTCATGTATCCCAGTAGACTTCAAATTGGAATACAAATATCTCCAGAAGTAAATAAGGACTTACCAAGGTGGGTGTCACTGTAGCTGGTTTCAAAGGCAGGCAAGCAAGATCTTTGACTGTGTAGCAACTGGGTTACATTCATCTGCTAGAGAAACAGCTGGTGGCTCCTTTTATACTGTCTCTCTAAAAATCACCTACCAACAACCTAACCCCCAAAAGGCATGTTCTCACCCACTTCAATCTTATAGAGAGCAACACTTGGAGTATTAAACCTCCAACTGAATTAAAGAGGATACTTGGAAATAATTATGCTGGCACTAATAAAGCAAAGAATGTAAATAATCAGATGACAAATCCTTTCACAAGTCAAGTGGTTTTCAATTCTTTTTAACAAAACAGAATGAGATCGCAATGGAACTATCAACTATACAAATAATTTTTACAAACAACTTTTTTGAGACAGGGTCTCACTATCTTATCCAGATTGGCCTGGAACTGGACTGGTGACATTCCTGTCTCAGTTTTCCAAGTAGTTGGGATTACAGTTGTGTATCACTGGGACTGGCTACAAACAACTTTAAATGAAAGATCATTATGTGATTTTTTTTTGGTTTGTAATGGAGAAGGAACTGAATGACATTCCTAATCAAATTTGTTTATGTGAATAAGGGTTCTTAGCACTCACATGATTAAAATAAAAAAAAGTTAATAGAATATCTTCTAAGTCTTATTCAATTATATTTATCCACTGGCATATTAACAAATAGTAACAACTATAACTCAATCCATAAGAAAAAATTCTAATGCTTAGAGGCCTATTCATAAAAGAAGAATTTTTTTTTAAGAGAGAGTGAGAGAGGAGAGAGAATTTTTTTTAAATATTTATTTATTTTTTTAGTTCTCGGTGGACACAACATCTTTGTTGGTATGTGGTGCTGAGGATCGAACCCGGGCCGCACGCATGCCAGGCAAGCGCGCTACCGCTTGAGCCACATCCCCAGCCCCATAAAAGAAGAATTTTAAAAAGCTATCAATCTGTATTTTTGTTCCAGAGAACAAGACAATCAATAAAAGGCTTTTGGGCTGGGGTTGTAGCTCAATGGTAGAGTGCCTGCCTCGCATGTGTGAGGCACTGGGTTCAATCCCCAGCACCACGTAAAAATAAATAATAAATACAGATATTGTGTCCATCTACAACTAAAAAAATATTTTTAAAAATAAAAGGCTTTTAGGAATAAAGATATCGGGGGAAAGTAATGCAAATAAAAATTCAAGTAGAAAAAGTGATTTAATTTCTAAAGAAAAATATCTTGGAGTAACCTTTAACTGGATAACTTGACTACTGAAATATCACAAATTTTAATAAACAGACAATTATATAATTTCCAACTATTTAATTTATGATTAAAAATTCAGATGTTAGGGCTGGGGTTGTGGCTTAGCAGCAGAACACTTGCCTAGCATGTACAAGGTTCTGGGTTGGATCCTCAGCACCATATACAAATAAATAAATAAAATAAAGGTATTGTGTCCAACTACAACTAAAAAAAATATTTTAAAAAATTCAGATGTTAGGCCAGACACAGTTGTGTTATGCTCGCAGATCCATCTAGTTGGGAGACGGTGGCAGGAGAATCACTTGAGCCCGGGGAATTCAAGGCTAGCCTGTGAACCTAGTGAAACCCCATCTCAAAAGAAAAAAAAAAAATTCAGGTGGCTGGGGTTGTGGCTCAGTGGTAAGAGTGCTCACCTAGCATGCATGAGACACTGAGTTAAATCCTCAGCACCACATAAAAATAAAATAAAGGTATTGTGTCCACCTAAAACTAAAAAATAAATATTAAAAAAAATTCAGGGTGGGCACACTTGTAATCCCAGTGACTTGGAAGGCTATGGCAGGAGGATCACAAGTTCAAAGCCACCCTCAGCAATTTATTGAGACCCTATGTAAAATAGTGAGGCCCTGTATCAAAATAAAATATAAAAAGGCTGGGTATGTGATTCAGTGGTTAAGCATTCCTGGGACTGATTCCTGGTACCAAAAAAAAAAAAAAAATCAGATATTAACTTTAAAACTTGACAGAGGGATATGTAGCTTAGAAAAATGCATTCAGTGTATTGGCACCAAACCACACTGATAGACCAGTGGTATAGAATAGAGGACAGAGACTAACCTACAAAATTAAAATTATCTTATATTAGACAAAGGTGCCAAAAACATGCACTGAAGAAAAGATAGCCTCCTCAACAAATGGTGCTGGGAAAACTGGAAATCCGTATGCAACAATATGAAATTAAATTCCTAGCTCTCACCATGCACAAAACTCAAAGTGGATCAAGGACCTAGGAATTAAACCAGAGACTCTGTGTCTAACAGAAGAAAAATTAGGCCCTAATCTCCACCATGTGGGACTAGGCCTCAACTTCCTTAATAAATCTCTTGTAGCACAAGAATTAAAACCAAGAATCAATAAATGGGATGGATTCAAACTAAAAAGTTTCTTCTCAGCAAAAGAAACAATCTATGAGGTGAATAGAGAGCCTACATCTTGGGAGCAAATTTTTTACCCCTCACACATCAGATAGAGCTCTAATCTCTAGAGTATATAAAGAACTCAAAAAGCTAAGCACCAAAATAACAAATAACCCAATCAATAAATGGACCAAGGACCTGAACAGACACTTCTCAGAAGATGATACACAATCAATCAGCAAATATATGAAAAAGTGTTCATCATTCATCATCTCTAGCAATTAGAGAAATGCAAATCAAAGCTACTTTAAGATATCATCTCACTCCTGTCAGAATGGCAGCTATTATGGAGACAAACAACAATAAGTGTAGGCGAGGATGTGGAGAAAAAGGCACATTCACACACTGCTGGTGGGACTGCAAATGGGTGCAGTCAATCTGGAAAGCAGTATAAAAATTCCTTGGAAAACTGGGAATGGAACTACCATCTGACACAATACCCAAAGGACTTAAAACAGCATACCACAGGGTCACAGCCACATCAACGTTTATAGCAGCATAATTCACAATAGCTAAACTGTGGAGCCAACCTAGATGCCCTTCAGTAGATGAATGGATAAAGCAAATGTGCCATATATATATACAATAGAATATTACTCAGCAATAAAAGAGAATAAAATCATGGCATTTGCAGGTAAATGGATGGAGTTGGAGAAGATAATGCTAAGTGAAGTTAGCCAATCAAAAAAAAATGCTCCGTGTTTTCTGATATAAAGAGACTGACTCATAGTAGGGTAGGGAGGGGGAGCATAGGAGCAATAGATGAACTCTACATAGGGCAGAGGAGTGGGAGGGGAAGGGAGGGGGCATGGGATTATTAATGATGGTGGAATGTGATGATCATTATTATCCAAAGTACATGTATGAAGACATGAATTGGTGTAAACATACTTCATATACAACCAGAGGTATGAAAAATTGTGCTCTGTATGTGTAATATGAATTGTAATGCATTGTACTGTCATTTATTTAAAAAAAAATTAAAAAAAGAAAGTGCATTCAGTGACTACAGAGCAAACATGTCTGAAGATACCGCTTTCTGCCCCCACCTCTAGGGCCCAAAGAGAGCTCCTATCCCCTCCTCACCCAGTCTTGTCCATCTCAAGAGGTGACACCACTCTCTCCTAGGAACTCCTGGCCTCTTGCATGCTGCTGATCTCGTCAGGGAAGGCTCATGAGTCCACTTCTCTCCCATGAGGACCACAGCTATTACACAGCCATGTTCCAGTTTCTTCCCCACCCTTACCTCCAACAACCTCTCCATCACGTTGCACAGTCTTGAAAAACACACCCTGTCCCTTTTCTGCTTAAGCTTTCCTATGGCTTCCCAGAAAACTGCAAGAAAACCAGGGTTGCTGAAAGTGGCTGAAAATACCCTATGATTTGGTCCTTGAAGACCAAATCTGAGACAATTTCCTTCTATGCTCACAATGCCACTCTGGCCTTCCCTCCATTCCTTAAGCATTTCAGACTTTGGCCTGTCTCACATCTATCTAGCCAGACCCTCTGCTGGGAATGTTATCCCTTGCATCTGTACACAACTGATTCCTTGTCACCTGAGTTCCAGCTTGAATGTCACCTCTTGAGAGGCTGTCCCTGATCAACCCTCACTCTCAACATAACCACATCATGGTACTAAATACTACCTCTGGCCTCCTCTTTTCTGTTTTCTCCCAACTGTGAGTTTGTATCATTAGGCACAGAACACAGTGATTAGCTGAAGGAATCAATGAGGCAGGGACAATCTTTTTGACAGGAGGTTTGACACAGAAAATTAAGGACAATATTTTTTTCATTCAAAATGAAAACAACTTAATGAGACCCATACAAATATACATATTCTTACAATTGTGATGACTTTATTTACTAAACAGAGATGCTTGAACTCTGGCACTGATAGGGCCAGGGAATGACTGTAAAGGAATGAGTAGGCCAAAAAAGCATGAGGACCATGAAAAGCTGATTGTGAATGCTAGGACTCCTGCTTGGCTCCAGCCAAATGGCATCAGGGAGGCACACCAGCCCATGGTGGGAGCTCTTCCATTTGTGAAAAGACTCTAGAGAGTTAGAGTTTATATAAAAATATTCTGATTTTTAAATGCTGGAAACTCCTTTTTTTCCTCCCCCCTGTACCGGGGACTGAACCCAGGGATGCTTAACTTTTAAGCCACAGCCCTTTTTATATTTTATTTTGAGATAGGATCTCACCAAATTTCTTTTTTAGGGCCTCTTTAAGTTGCTGAGGCTGGCTTTGAACTTGTGATGCTCCTGCTTCAGTCTCTTGAGCCATTGGGATTACAGGCCTGTGCCACCATGCCCAGCAGCAACTAATTCTTAAAGCATGATTTTATAAGGCCCTGGGCCCCAGTAGGAAGGGAGAAACCACATTCTTGTTGGCACTTCAATGTATTTGCCTCTGAGTAGCTAAAGGATTGCCTAATTATTAGGGCTAGCCTGAATAGAAAAAGATAATAGGAAGCTGAAGATGCTTTAGGCTAGGTGTGCTTGAACTGCTGCTGTCTACCTACCTGGACAGGATGTCCAGAGGGTGCTGGGCAATCTACCATGCCTCTCTTAGCAGTCCTGGAGGCCACCTCTTAACTATATCTGGCTACTTGCCTCCTATTTCTCGGGGGACTGTGTCTCCAGTCTGTAGCTTTTATAAATGGAAAGAGAAACAGTAATGCAGGGTGGATCTTCTGTGTCCAGTGGGCCACTGATGGTCAATGAGAAGCCCCAAGAGGGTGGCACAGCACACTCACCATGTTTTGCTCAGCAATAAAACACTCGATGAATCGTTCAGGGTGTTCTTTCTTGAATATCTCAGAGAAGGTGGAGTTCTTGGTGTCACCATCCAGCACAATGACTCTGTTGTTTGCATGGCCCAGCTTAGCTAGAGCCAAACCACATGCTTTTCGAGTAGCTACCTAGAAGAAAGTCAAGTGGCAAGATTTCTTGGAATGCACTTAGAAGGCAGGCACAATTTTATAGAATTAAATTGTTATCTTGATGAAGAAATTAAATAATCTCTTTTTATTTCACATACTCTTAAGCCCCACTTGCTGTATAGGAAAACACTCCACAACTCAACAGGAAGATTCTGACATTGTAGTTTTTTACTTCATTCTTCAATTAACTTTGCTACATTAATTAGTTTACTGTCTAAAAATTCACAGATGGCATTTTATTTGAAATATCTGAATTAACTACATTTATTGTCCCATTCAGATAATTCATTAAAAATTTTAAATTTATTTTCTAAAATGTGGATGCCTCTGTTGCTTTTTAATTATAAAACTGATAATACTAATTGCAAACTAATTGCAAGCTATAAAATATCAACTTTAGAATCATGACACCAATAATAAAAAATTCCATTAGGATATAGTTTGAAATTGAACTGAATTTATAAATTAATTTAGGGGAGAACTGGCATCTTTACAATATGGAATTTTTATATTAAAAAATAAGGTAAAACAAAAGCAAACAAAAAACCCCTGAACAAGGCTGGCGATATAACTCTGTTGGTAGAGTACTTGGCTTTGCATGCACAAGGTCCTGGGTTCAATCCCCAGCACCACAAAAAACAAAAAACCAAGCTGGGTGGTGCACGGCTGTAATCCCAGTGGCTAGGGAAGCTGAGGCAAGAGGATTTTGAGTTCAAAGCTAGCCTCAGCAAAAGCAAGGCACTAAGCAACTCAGTGAGACCCTGTCTCTAAATAAAATACAAAACAGGGCTGCGGTTGTGGCTCAGTGGTCAAGTGCCCAAGTTTAACCCCCAGTACAAAACAAACAAACAAACCCCCAAACAAAACAAAAACAAGGATCCAGGCACAGTAATGTATGCCCCTAATCCCAGGGACTCTAAAGGCTGAGGTAGGAGGATCACAAGTTTTAGGCCAGCCTCCAACTTAGCAAGGCCCTGTATCAAAATTTAAAATTAAAAAGGGCTGAAGGTGTAGCTCAAGGGTAAAGCACCTAATCCTCAGTATGACCAAACCAAACCAAAAACCAAAACAAGGCTTGGCAATCCCTGAAACTGTTTTTTTTTTTTTTTTTGCACCAGGGATTGAAACTAGAGGGACTTAACCACTGACCCACATGCCCAAAGCTTTCTATTTTTTGTTTTGAGACAGAGTGTTGCTTAGTTGTGCAGAGCCAACTTTGAGTTTGTGATGCTCCTGCTTCAGCTTCCCAAATTGCTGGGATTACAAGTGTGTGCCACTGCACCTGGATCCTCAAACTGTTAAGGGCAGAATTACCATATGACTTAGCAATTCTACTCCTAGGTATATTCCCAAGATAAAATGTAAACCTATACAAAAACTTGGACACAAATGTCCAAAGAAACATTATTCCCAATACTCAAAAGATAGAAACAACCAAATGTCTATCAATGGATGAATGAATAAACAACATGTGGTATACCTATACATGGAATGTTATTCAGTCATAAAAAGAAACAAAGTACTGCAGCATGAATGAGCTTCAAAAACACTATGCTAAGTCAAAGAGACCAGACACAGAAAATCATATATGGCTGGGGATGCTGCTCAGTGGATGAGTGCCCCTGAGTTCAAAAACTCCCCCTCAGAAAATGTGGTGCTATGGACGTAGGTCTAGCATGCATGAGACCCTGGGTTAGAGCCCCAGCACCACAAAAAAGGCAATGTGTACACACACTATAAAATTCAAAAGCTATAACAGGATATCAAATGAAGAGGCTATATTCCTTTTGTTCCTGTCCCTCAGCTACCTGGTTCCCCTTTCCAGATGTAAATGGCAATAAGGCTTTCATGAGGGCTGGGATGTGGCTCAAGTGGTAGCATGCTTGCCTAGCATGCATAAGGCACTGGGTTCGATTGTCAGCACCACATAAAAATAAAAAAGATATTGTGTCCACCTAAAACTAAAAAATAAATTAAAAAAAAATAAGGCTTTCGTGAGGCCTGTTTACAGAAATGGTCTAAGCACAAATACCTGATGGGCATTTCTTACAAAGGCACATGATCTTCTTTTAGGCTTCTAGTTGCACAAGCATATTAATACAGATTTTGTATATCTAAATTTATTTTTGGCCATTTTACTATTATAAAGGGATCATCTTCTTACCATCATACCTAATAACCAGTTATAATTAAGGTAAAGTATCTTCACACCAATTTATGCCATTATACATGTACTCTTTTTTTGCATTACAATTCTTAATATACATATATACCACAATTTTTCATATCATCTCTGTTTGTACATAAGGTATGTTGGCACAAAATTCAAATCTTCATACATGTATTTTGTATAATGAACATATTTTATATAGAGAGATACAAAAAATTGTGCAGTATATGTATAATTAGGATTGTAATGCATTCTACTATTGTCGTGTATTTAAAAATAAATAAATTTTAAAAAATAATTAAGGTAAAAAGAAATTGATTCTTGTATGTTAGTTTTGCTACAAGCTCTCTCACTGGTCTTTGTTCTTAATTTTAACCATTTCTGGTTCTCTTGGGTTTTCCAGACATATAATGCTATCATCTGCAAATAATATGAACCTTATCTTCTCCTTGTTGGTACTGATTATTTTATTCTTTCATTTAACCACAGTGACCAACATTTCCAGAGTGGGGCTAAATCTCTTTGCAAGATTATTAAAAATGTTTTTACCATTAGGTACAAAAGGGGCTCCAGGGCTAGGATTGTGGCTCAGTGGTAGATCACTTGCCTTGCATGTGAAAGGAACTGGGTTTGAAACTCAACATCACATAAAAATAAATAAGATATTGTGTCCACATACAACTAAAAAAATTTAAAAAATAAAAAGGGGCTCCAGATTTACAATATATTTATCTAGAATTGAACCTAGTCTTGCACTATACTGAAGAGCAACATCTCCGGCCCTAAGCAATTTTTCAAACAGGAATGAATGCTGAAATTTTACTTAATGTTTTACTTTAATACATATAAAAATAATTAGGTTTTTCTTTCCTGCTTTGTATAACTCACTGATGTATTATTAGGTCAAACAGTCCCTGACTCTTTAATTGTTCGATTTTTTGGGCTTTACAATGGTTTTTGAAAGTTATTCACATTTGTTATTTTTTGAGAGAGAGAGAGAGAGAGAGAATTTTTTTTTAATATTTATTGTTTTAGTTTTCAGCAGACACAACATCTTTGTATGTGGTGCTGAGGATCAAACCCAGGCAGCACACATGCCAGGCAAGCGCGCTACCACTTGAGCCACATCCCCAGCCCCAACATTTGTTATTAACTATACTTCAAATGTTCAGTTTTGATCTTTTCCCAAGCTAATTATATATTGTATGATATCTTCTTGTGATGCTGGGTAGCAGTAGTGAACCACGCAGCTCATAATCAGCCATAAAATCATGAGGTTGAACAACTGACACTTTGCATTGTATTGTTGAGCTGTGTTGTTTGCTAGTTTTGGTGTATTAAATGAATTTTCAACTCATATTTTCAACTTATAATGTGTTTATTTGGACATATTCCCATCTTAAGTCGATGAGCATTTGTATTAAGTTTCCCATATTGACAAATGATCTGAATTATTAATTTAAACTTCACTGATTCATGATTCTTTTTTCTTTTGAGATGGAATCTATGTTGCCCAGAATGGTCTTAACTCCTGAGATCAATGGTTTGAAAGTTATTCACCTTTGTTATAAAAATGGGGACCCTCCAATTTTAGCCTCTCAAGTTCTGAGAGTATAGGTACATGCCATTGCATCAAACTTATATACTTGCCATTTTAAAAAATTTGAGTATTGAGACAGTCTTGTTAAGTTGTGCAGGTTGTCATAAACTTCTTTTAATGTACTAATGCAGATGACCTTGGTTAATGTTTTACTTAGTTTTTTTTTTTTGCACTGATATTTATAATTGGTCTATAGTTTTCTTTGGGCTATTTTTGTTACATTTTGGCTTCATAAATGAATTGAGATGATACTTTGGTCTTCAAATTTGGAAAGTTTGAAACAGCTAAAGAATTACCTATTCTTTGAAGGCTAAAAATAAGTCACCCTTGAAATTTGGTGAACCTGATGCTTCAGAGGTATTATCTTGGACAGTTTTCTCAAGACTTTTTCCTATGACTATTGACATATTTAAGCTTTTTCTATCTTTTAAAAAGTCAACTTTTGATATTTCATGCATTCCTAAAATATGGCCCCCATCCTTTTAAACATGTTTTCATACCAATTAGCATGGAGTTGTATAGATTTCTAGTCATATATATAAATATATATGTATATTTTAGTTGTAGATGGACACAAAACCTACTTATTTAATTTATTTATTTATTATGTGGTGCTGAGGATCAAACCCAGTGCCTTACACATGCTAGGAGTGTTCTACCACTGAGCCCCTCTCTTCTTTTTTTTTTAAAAATATTTATTTTTTAGTTACAGATGGATACATATCTTTATTTTTTTTTTATTTTTATGTGCTGCTGAGGATCGAACTCAGTGCCTCACGCATCTAGGCGAGCGCTCTACCTCTGAGCCACAATCCCAGCCCCTCTTAATTCTTTGTGTTCTCTGCATCTGTGTTTATTGCCGTTTCCCAAAGACTAAATTTTACTTTTTAAAAATGTTTGGTAGTTTTAGGTGGACATAATATTTTTTTATTTTTATGTGGTGCTGAGGATTGAACCCAGGTCCTCATGCATGCTAGGTAAGCACTCTAACACTGAGCCACAACCGCAGTCCCAAGACTAAATTTAATATATTTATGGCTTTTATCTCATCAAGGAGGATAGCTAATAGCTTGTTTGCTATATTGGTAATTGAAAGGGCCAGTTTAATAACTTCTTTGTTTTTAATTTGATTTTTGGAGTTGTAGATGGACATAATGCTTTTATTTTATTTGTTTATTTCTATGTGGTGCTGAGGATTGAACCCAGTGCCTCACACATGCTAGGCAAGCACTCTGCCACTGAGCCACAGTCCCAGTCCCAAAGGACCAGTTTTAGAATCACACATTAATGTGTCTTCTTTTTTAATTCACTGATTTTTGGGCAGAGGTACCGGGGATTGAACTCAGGGGTGCCCAACCACTGAGCAACTTCCCCATCCTGTTTTGTATTTTATTTAGAGACAGGGTCTCACTGAGTTGCTTAATTAGCACCTCACCACTGCTGAGGCTGGCTTTGAACTTGAGATCCTCCTGCCTCAGCCTCCTGAGCCACTGGGATTATAGGCATGTGTCACTGCACCCAGCTAATTTGCTGATTTTTGACAAACTACTCTGCTTCCCTAATACATTTTTTCCTATTCATAAGTTCTTTTAAAAAATTAAAAGTTCCAATAATCCCTTCTTTCAAATAAACACTTAACAATTTGATGTCATTCCTCTAAATATACTTTTACGTCCTATAATAAATAATGTGCTAACTCCTTTTAAGATTTTCTACACAAAAATAAAATCATATGTTACTTTTCATTCAAAAACTTCTAGTAATAATTTAGGCAAGCTCAGCCTCTCTTTCTGGGTTGTTTCCAATTTTGGTATCAGAACCCACAATGCAATCAACATTCCTTCCAATAGACATATCTGCATGCTTACAGATATGTGTTTTATAGGATAAATCCCTATAAGTTGCACAGCTAGTTTGAAGGGTATGAAGAGCTGAAGTATTAAGACACATTGCCAAAGTACCCTTCTGCTTTTTAATTTCTTTCCTAATTTCTCAAGTGGTTAATTCATCTGGTTTTAATCTACATTGTCAGGTTAAGAAAACAACCAAATGGGGCTGGGATTGTGGCTCAGCGGTAGAGTGCTCGCCTAGCATGGGCAGGGCCTGGGTTCGATCCTCAGCACCACATAAAAATAAAGGTATTATGTCTGTGTCCATCTACACCCAAAAAATAAATATTATAAAAAAGAAAACCAATACTCAAAATTTGTGCAAATAAACAGGGAAAATAAAAGAAGAGTCAAAAAATACTTCCTTCCAGGCTGAGGTTGTATCTCAGTGGTGGAGTACTTGCTTATTAGGTGTGAGGTACTGGGTTTGATCCTCAGCACCACATAAAAACAAATAAATGAAACAAAGGTATTGCATCCATCTACAACTAAAAAAAATACTTTTAAATGCTTTAAAAATATTTCCACCTAGGCCTTCTGCCTTATTTCTTTTGTCTTGAAGACCCAACCTTTTTTAGGTCTGCTATAGTATACCACAGGGCAGAATATAAAAATAACAAAAAACCACTGGGCATGGTGGTGTACAACTACAGTTCAGCTCTTCAGGCAGGATCACTCAAGCCCAGGAGTCTGAGGAGAGCCTGGGCAGCATAGCAAGACCTTGTCTTAAATACACACACACACACACCCCAAAAACTTTTATATAAGGCTTTATGTTTAGGGTTTTACACATAACTTGATTCCTTTTTGAAGAATTGTTGTTTGATAAATTGGACTGCTTTCTTGTGTAATCCAGCATAAAGTTCAAAAGATTGGCCCATCCTTCTCAGGCAGACACACAATCATGGTAGTTTTGTGCATAGTTGGACTGTCAGGGCACAAATTGAACTAAGGAAGCAAGACAAAGCCATAAGGCCCTGGATGGTAATAAATAGGAATTGATCAGTATGAAAATTCAGACCTAAGTAAGTATAAAAGCAAAGAATAAAAAAAGAGAATAAACCCATCTTTACTGATTATAACCATTAAGTAATTATCACACTTACAATTGGTTTATCCATTGATATTAAGATAAATCAAGAATACTATGTATTTAGGAAGAAAGAAAACAAAGCATGTTGATATACATGATTTAGTTAATCATCCACATTTTGCTTACCACATCGCCAACTTCATAAGCAGGTGGACAGGTCATTTTTATATCCATGATATTGACTTGAGGTGAATCCTCAATAGGGGGTTGTGGTAAAAGACTCCTGTTGGTCTGTATCTGGCTCTCAATTAATTTGATAATTGCATCTGCTCTTTCTTTTGGCATTGGTTTTCCATACCAATTTTCTGCATCTTCAACATCTGCAAGAAAAAAGCCATTCATTCTAAACTTTTAATGAGCATCTATTAGGTCATTTGAAAGGCTTTACGATTAAAAAATGTTAAATCTAGGACTCCCATGATTAAGAACCAGGCATAGAGGAGCCTAGTATGGTACTGCAGTCAGAGAGATCAGCCTGAACAAAGGCCATGTGACTTTAAAGGGGGCCATTGGCCCATATTCAGTAAATGGAGAGAAGAATGTGGGAGATTAAGTTGAAAAGACAGAAAGGGGAGACTGTGGAGTGGAGGGCTAATGGGTATAGAGTCTGAATTTTATCCAAAACAACCTGGGAAACCATTGAAGGGATTGGATTAGTAAATGATTAGTCATGTTGTATAAAGATCACTGTGTAGCAATGTGGAGACAGGCTTAGAAGGAAGCAAGCTGGAAGTGGACAGACCCCTCCAGATGTTGTTGCAGTTCAGAAGAGATGATGGGAGCTTGGCAACAATTGTGGCAGTTGAGATGGGGAGGGGAAAACACATCTTATATACTCTAAGGGATCACATATATGGGGTGACAACATAGGGGAGAGGGAGAGTCAAGGACAGTGCCCAGGGTTCTGCCAAGGAAACACTGGTAATGTTATTATGGAACTGGGGGAACCACAGTAAGATTATATTTGGGGGAAGAGTTGTAGACTGGTTTTATTCTAAAATATCTATATTATTGTTTAAAGAAACCAGAAATCTAGACTTGAACAATTTCAGACAGCCTTAAGTATGCAAGGACTTAGTCTTTTAAAACTCCTTCCTGGGCTGGGGCTATAGCTCAGTGGCAGAGCACTTATCTGATGCATGTGAGGCACTGGGTTCAATTCTTAGCACCACATAAAAATAAACAAATAACAAACAGCATAGCATGATGTCTATGTACAACTACAAAAAAAAGTTTTTTAAAAACCAACCAACCAAACAAACAAACAAAAAAAACCACCTTGGGCTGGGGTTGTAGCTCAGTGGCAGAGAACTTGCCTAATGTGTGAGCACTGGGTTTGATTCTCAGCACCACATATAAATAACTAAAATAAAGGTCCATTAACAACTAAAAAATGTGTTTTAAAAAAACCCCACCTTCCTTCCCCAATCCTAGTTCCACAGCTGCCATTTCAAGATGTGATACTTTACCAAGTCCCTGTGTTTTTCTAGATGGCCTGGGCCGAAGCAAGTATACATGTATGCATACTCTTATTCATGGGGCTGCTCATACATGTAGCACAGTTTATCATTCTATGAATGGAACAGTGAAGATCATTTCACATTAGCCTTCCAATTAATGCACCACCACACATCGAAGAATGTTTTGATTGTTATAGTTATTGTAGATAAATGAACTCTTAATGAACTCTTCTCCTAGCCACTCCTTCACACAGGTTGACTGGCTTTCCCCTCCTACCCTAACCAGACAGAGTTATCTAGTGAGGGCAAGAGAGGAGTCTTGAGCACATGTTACAGGTGTTATCATTGTTCACTAAGGAAAAGGCATCTGCTTTGCCAGTTTAAGCATCCTTCTGCTGTGCACACAGATGTTCTGAATACACACAAGTAGGAAAGAAACACTTACTTGGCATGCCCCGGCCCTTGAAGGTCTTGGCAACCACGGCAGTGGGCTTGCTTTTCACTTGGGCTGCTTGCCAGAACACCTGGCACAGTGCCTCCACATCACGACCATCCACCACATAAGTGTTCCACCTGTCAACAAGGATACCAGGTTACAAGGAAGAAGGGAAGCAGGACAGAAAGAAGGTAAGGCAAGAAAAGGTATGGTTACCCAAAGGCTTCACAGCGCTTCTGATAGACTTCTATGCAGTGCTCAAGGGGCAAGGTGCCACCATGTCCCAGGCGGTTCACATCAAAGATCACCACAAGATTATCCAGACTGTAGTAGGAAGCGAAGGCCAATGCCTCCCAGACAGAGCCTTCAGACGACTCACCATCTCCCAGGAGGCAGAACACACGGTAGCTGGAGCAAGCCAAGAAAAGTTTAGGATCCTGCTGGGGGCTGACCTGGACCACTTAAACAAATGCATTTCAGGGACAAAGGAACAGACTGGATAAGACTGGAGATGCCACTTCAGATCATCAGGTCCCTATGCCTATTTTCTCCTTACGAATTCTGAGCATACTCAGCAGCTGAAGAAAGGACATTCTAAATGCTTGGGCCTCATGAGATGGTCATCACCTTTGGTGAGCTTTCTCATTCCAGCTCTAAGGCTATTTTTAGCTGCTTCTGCTATTTCTCTCAATCAGAAAGCAAAAGGGCAAGAGGAGAATGGGAAGAAAGCAGTTCCCTGAAATTCCCAAACAACATGTACACATAAATTTTCTTGGAAAATTCCATTTTTAAGTACCACTATCTTCTATTTCTTTCTTTCTTTCTTTTTTTTTTTTTTTTGGTACTGGGGATTGAACTCAAGGGTGCATAACCATTGAGCCACATCTCCAGTCCTTTTAAATATTTTATATAGATAAGGTTTCACTAATTTGCTTAGGGCCTTCCTAAATCACTGAGACTGGCTTTGAACTCACAATCCTCCTACCTCAGCCTCCCAAGCTGCTGGGATTATAGGCATGCACCACCATGCCCAGTACCACTTCCTTCTATTTCTGATATTACAATTTATATACAATAACTATAACAATCAAAACATTCTTCCATGTATGGTGGTGCATGCCTATAATTCCAGCAACTCAGGAAGCTGAGACAGGAGGGTCACAAGTTTGAGGCCAGCCTTAGCAACTTAGTGAGGCCTTAATAAATTTAGCAAGACTGTGTCTCAAAATTTGGAAAAAAAAAAAAAAAGGCTGGGTATGTACCTCAGATCTCACTAAAATGCTCTAAGTTAAAAAAAATTAACTCCAGGATAAGAAAAAGAGAAACAGTCACCAATGAAAAATTTCAGACCTATGGGAAATGGAGCAGGGTAGCTGCCTAAAGACTAGAGGAAGCACAATGAAATGCTTCCAGAGTCACCATGGAGCCCATGGGAACTGATCATTTAGGGTTCTTCCCATCTGAGGAGCTAGGTGGCTGTTTTCCCAAGGAGACAGAAGCTCCCCACCCTGGAGAAATTGAACCTGAGGGGCTCTGGACTCAGGTCTACTATACACAGCAGAAGAAGTGGGTGCTCATGGAACTGGACCAGGTACATCACCACTGCTTTGCTCCCACATCAGCAACAGCAACCTCTCAAGAAAGAGACTGATTTTCTTGTCTTTGAAAAGGGGGAACCAGGGCTAAAGATATAGCTCAGTACTAGAAGAGCACTTGCCTAGCATGTGTGAGACACTGGGTTTGATCCTCAGCACCACATACAAATAATTAAAGGAATTGCATCCATCTACAACTAAAACAAAAGAAAAAGGGGGAATCAACCCAGAAAAACGTCCTTTATTATTAACATTCAGGGGCCCTATGCAAAGACAAACCCATTCATGAGTTCATTCTAGAGGGAAGATCACCAGAGATGGAAAACACAAAGTTGTTACTTAGGGAAGATCTATGTGCTAATATAGTGGTACCTATACTGCAGCTACCACTTAGACCCCAACCAGGAATGGTAAGACAGTTCCCAGAAACCTGATTTCTTTACTGCTCCAATACTTGGTAACATGAACTTTAAAAACCATTTGTCTTCCCAAACTATTGAACTGAGAAGTTTAAGTGAGAAGATGGGGCAGTGGAGTGAATATGGGTAAGTACCTTACCTGGCCTGGTCAAAGTACTTGCCAGTATATGCCATCCCACACGCAGCCCCCAGTCCTTGCCCAAGCCATCCTGTTGCCACATCAACAAAGGACAGTCTCTGTAAGAGAAAAGGGACCCAATGAACCTAGGAGCAGCTGTAGGACAAGAATGTCAGGCAGATTTCCAGTGCTGAATGTAAGCCACTCCTGTTGACCATCCTGCTAGGGTAGATGAATTCCTCTTTGACACACCCACATGCACCCTGAGTCTCAGATCAATGTCATAAGAGGACTATGGGTTGAGCCCCACCCAGTCTGGGCTGGAAACTGGAATGACAAAGATGCCATGCCCAGGACTGGGGTTGTGGCTCAGTGGTAGAGTGCTTGCCAAGCACGTGTGAGGCACTGGGTTCAATTCTCAGCACCACATAAAAATAAATGAATAACATAATGGTATTGTGTTAATCTACAACCCAAGAATTTTTTTTTAATTCTTAAAAAAAAAATGCCAGCTGGGCATATACTTGTAATCCCAGCTGCTCAGGAAGCTGAGACAGGAGGATTGAGAGTTCAAAGCCAGCCTCAGCAAAAATTGAGGCACTAAGCAACTCAGTGAGACCCTGTCTCTAAATAAAATACAAAACAGGGCTAGGATATGGCTCAGTGGTCTAGTGCCCCCAAGTTCAATCCCAGGGACCCTGCCCCCCAAAAAGATGCCATGCCCAGGTAACCACAGAATTCAGCATGGGGAGGGTGACTAGAACTTTGGGAACACAGAGGAGAGAACTTAAATGCAAAGCAGAAAATGTAAGGCATCTTCCCAAGGCCTTTGTTCCAGCCATGCAAAAACCACATGTTTAATCTTTTAGAAAATATGGGTTCTTTGGGGCTGGGATTGTGGCACAGCGGTAGAGCGCTTGCCTAGCACGTGCAAGGCCCCGGGTTCGATCCTCACACCACATAAAAATAAATAAAATAAAGACAACTACAACTAAAAAATAAATATATAAAAAAATGGGTTCTTAAATAGAAACCCCCAACACTAAAGTTTGTGAGTTTCCTGGTTTATAAAACTCAGGTGAACTGTTGGTCATCTAGAAGTGCCACTACTATAAGCAGATCACTTTCCACTACTACTTTGCCACACCTCTGCTAACATCCAGTTTGCATGTACCAAAATCCCTGTGCCATGAAGAGAATGTGACCCATGAAAAAGGGTTGTTGCTCTGGTGGGATATGCCCCACTCCTGAGCTTCCAGATATACTGAATTTATTTAATAGCTTCTGCTGCTGCCATCTCAGCCTAATTACTGACATCCCTTGCCTGTCAATGCAGTGGCCTCCCTGCCTCCCCGACAGACATTCTCAACCCAGCCACCAGTAGGAGTCTATTAAAACTTAAGGAGCAGTGGCTGGGGATGTGGCTCAACAGTAGAGGGCTTGCCTCGCACATGCGAGATCCTGGGTTTGATCCTCAGCACCACATACACAAATAAACAAATGAAATAAAGTTGTTGTGTCCAACTACAACTAAAAAATAAATATTAAAAAAAACTTAAGCCAGGGGCTAGGCAAGTACTCTAGCATGTGTGAGGCACTGGGTTCTATTCTCAGCACCACATAAAAATAAATAAAATAAAGGTCCATTGACAATTAAAAAAACAAAAAACCTAAGCCAGGATGGTGGTAATCACCTGTAATCCCAGCAACTTCAGAGGATGAGGCCCTAAGCAATTTAATAAGAACTGTCAAAATATAAAAATATAATATAAATATTTTTATAATAAATATTTTTGATATAAAGTATCAAAAATAAGTAGGGCTGGGGATCTGGCTCAGTGGTAAAGTTTCCCTGGGTTAAATCCCCAGAACTCAAAACAAAAACAAACAACAAAAACTTAAACCAGGTTAACAGATCTATGCTAACAGCCCAAGTTCTTACACCAGCTTGCCCACTTCAGCCCCCTTACCTCCTACTTGCCTTCTCACCACCCCCAGGCATCTTAGCTTTCTTGCTGTCCCTTAAGCACAATGGGCACATATCTGCTCAGGGCCTTAGCACTTGTAGTTGCTGCTACCCAAGTGCTTGTGCTTAGATATGACCATAGTTCACTCTCTCACCTTATAAATTGCTGTTCAAACATCAGTATCATGGTCTCTGGATTATTCTCTTTCAACCAGTGCCCTCTACCCCCTCCCTCCACCTTACTTCGTTCCAGAATGCTTAGCCTCATAAGATTTGCTATCTATTTCCAGGTTTGTATCTAGCCTGTCTCCTCTGTCCAAATGCCAGCTTCATTCACAGACCAGTGCCATGTTCATCACTACCATGAATAAATGAATGGTACTTGTCATTCTCAGATCTCTTTCCTTTGTTTCCCATTCTCCACTGCTCTCTGGGACTTTCTGACCTTACCTGGAATTCTCCACATGCTTTGTGCCCTCAGATTCCCTTTCAATTTTGTATTTCTCACCTAGTGGAATTGTGCCGCTGAAGATTCTTCTGATCATGTCTCCAAGTTTGTCTTCCTCTCTATGGTTCCTGCCTCCTTTAACAAGCTCTGGTTCCTAGCTGCCTTGCATGCCCTTGGAGTTGATGACCTACAATGTCACGGACCAAGCCTGGGCTCAACACTCAGACCAATTCTGCTGCCTCCTGGCCATGAAGTGTGGGGCAAGTGAGCCCACTTCCTCAAGGCTTTACTTTTTAGGTTTGATGGAGACAAGAGCCCCCCTCAGGTGGCAGGATTTTATGATGTACACAATGAACCAACATGATAAACAGGACCCATTTTAGGCCTGTTGCCACATGGTGACTTAAAAAAAAAACTGGTTAAGAAGCAAGCATCAGAACAGGCCCAGGGTTCCCCTGCCAAAGTACCTTTGAGAGGATGAATCGGTCGTTGTCTGGGTTCTCTGGGTCTGACTGTTTATATCTCATCGTGTGGAAGAAAAGCACAGACATGATCTCAGCAGCACTGCTGCATGATGTAGGGTGGCTGAAAGGCAGACACAAAGCAAGTCAATTCTCAAAGGCATGTGACAGTGCATGAAGCTGCCTTTCAGCTTATGCTCTCCACAATCCAAGGGAGTCCATGGCCTCCCAACTCATGGCTGAAGACCGCTTCACAGACCAGTAACCTCACAACTTCTCCTTACGCACAGTGAGATGCTCTGAGGCTAGTTCCCTTCTATAGCAAGCACTTGCACTCAGAGCAAGTTCACCTTCTGAGTCCAACTTGAGCATCATTTCACTCGTGTGATTTCATCCATAGTACTTTGACATGCTGAGGAAATTTCAGGAGCATCATTAATGAAAAATGTCATGCATATCTCTTTCTACTACCCAAAATGAACTTGTTATTAGAAGTGAATAGTGAAAGACTGGAAAATTTCTCAAGGGCAAGTAACTTGGGCCTTTCCTGAATGCTGAAATAACTAATGCTTAGAAAGTAGCTTACATGTAAGCGTAGACAGTTTTAAATTTATTTGTTTAAACAGGGAATTGAGCACAGGAGCACTTTACCACTGATCTACATTCTCTGTCCTTTTTTTTTTTTTTTAAATTTTTGAGACAGGGTATTGCTAAGTTGCTTAGGGCCTCATTAAATTGTTGCAGCTGACCTTGACTTACAATCCTTGTGTCTCAGCCTCCCGAGTCCTTAGATTACCCACATGCACCACCACTCCTGGTGCCAATTTTTAGTTTAAAGAGGAGAAGAAGCCAGCACAATGGTCCACACCTGTAATCCTGGTGGCTCAGAAGGCTGAGGCAGGAGGATTGTGAGTTCAAAACCAGCGTTAGAAACTTAGCAAGGCCCTAAGCAAGTTAGTTGTTTTAATAAAAATATTTTAAAAGTCATGATGTTGTGGCTCAGTTGTGAAGCATCTTGGGTTCAATCCCCAATACCAAAATAAAATAAAATAAAATAAATAAATAATAAAACGGACAGGGAGACAGGACAAAGAACAAAAGCTTCTTCCTGAAAACATTTGCCAACTATTTATCTGACAGAGGGTTAATATACAGAAAATGTAAGGAACTGGGCTGGGGATGTGGCTCAAGAGGTAACGCGCTTGCCTGGCATGCACGGGGCACTGGGTTCGATCCTCAGCACCACATAAAAATAAAAAAATAAAATATGCTGTGTCCATTGAAAACTAAAAAATAAATATTAAAAAAATTCTCTCTCTAAAAAAAAAGAAAGAAAATGTAAGGAACTCAAGAATTTTGACAAAAAAGTCAATTTCAATTAAAAATGGGGAGATAATCTGAATAGATAACTTCTCAAAAGAAGAAATAGGAATGGTCAACAAATATATGAAAAAATGTTTAATATCATTAGGTTTCAGGAAAATGCAAATCAAAACTCCAATGAGGGCTTGGGACCTAACTTTGCAGTAGTGTGCTTGCCTAGCCTGTATGAGGCCCTCAGTTTAATCCCTAAAACCACAAAAACAAACAAACTACAATGACATATCATCTCACCTCAATGGCTATTATAAAAAAATGCTGGTGAGTATACGGAGGATAAGGGAACTCATACACTGTTGGCTAGAATGTAAATTAGTAGTTACTATGGAAGTTCTTAAAAAAATAAAATAGACTTACCTTATGATCTAGCTATCCCATTTCTGGATATAGATCCAAAGGAAATAAAATCAACATACCAAAGACATACCTGCATCCCCATGTTTATCACAGCACTGTTCACAATAGCTAAGATATACAATCAGCCTAGGTGCCCGTTAACAGATAAAAGGATAAGGAAGATGTGATATAGATAGAGAATGGAATATTATTCAACCATAAAGAATGAAATCTGGGCTGCATGTACAGCTCAGTGTTAAAGTGTTTGCCTCACATGAGAAGAGGCCCTGGGTTTGATTCCCAGTGCCTGTCAAAAAATAGAGAATGAAATCCCATCATTTGTATCAAAATGGATGGAACTGGAGAATATTATGTTAAGTGAAATAAGCCAGACACAGAAAGACAAGTACCACGTGTTCCCTCTCATGTAGAAGCTTAAAAAAGGTTGAGGGATGGGGATGTAGCTTAGAGATACAGCACTTGCCTATTTGCCTGGCATGTTCAAGGCCCTGGGTTCATGCCACAGCACCACACACAAAAACAGACTTGAATGTAAAATTACTGCTAACAGAGTTTGGGAAGTATATTTGTGGTAGGATAGATAAGGAGAGGCTGGATATGATCAGTGTGCTCTTTATGCATATGTGGAAATATCACAATGAACTCAATATGTACAGTTAATTTGTGTTAATAAAAAGGAGGCAGGAGTGGGCTGGGGCTGGGGCTCAGTGGTAGCACACTTGCCTGGCATGTATGAGGCATTGGGTTTGATTCAAAGGTCTACAAACAACTACAAAAAAAAAAAAACACACACACACTAATGTATTTAAAAAAAAAAAAAGAGCCAAGAGGACCGGGGTTGTGGCTAAGTGAGGAACTGGGTTTGATCCCCAGCACCACATAAAATTAGATAAATAAAAAACAAATAAAATAAAGGTATTGTGTCCATCTACAACTAAAAAATTTTTTTTTAAAAAAGAGAGTAGTGGTGTACATGCCTATAATCCCAGCCATGAGGGAGGCTTAGGAAGGAGGACTGGTAAGTCCAGGCCAGACTGGGCAACTTAGTGAGACCCTGTCTCAAACTAAAATTAAAAAAAGGCTGTAGCTCAGTGGTAGAATATTTGTCTAACATGTGCAAGGCACTGGGTTTTATCCCCAGTTAAAAAAAAAGACAAATACATAAATAAATAAATGGAAAACCTCTACTCCCAGCTCCAACATAAGAAAAACAAGATTTTAGGCCCAAGTCATTCATACCTTTGTTTAAAAGTTTCACAGTATAGGGCTGGGTTGTGGCTCAATGGTAGAGTGTATGTCTGGCATGTGAGGGGCACTGGGTTCAATTCTCAGCACTGCATATAAATAAATGAATAAAATAAAGGTTCGTCAACATCTAAAAATTTCTAAAAAGTTTCACAATATAAAAAATGAGGACTTAAGCCTTCATGCCTTATAAATGTCTCCTACGTAGATTGAACCCAGGGTCCTTTAACTACTGAGCCACATATCCAGCCCTTTTTTTAATTTAGAGACAGGGTCTTGCTGAGTAGCTTAAGGCCTCACTAAATTGCTAAGGTTGGCTTTGAACTCGAAATCCTCCTGTCTCAGCCTCCCAAGCTGCTGGGATTACAGGTGTGCACCATTGTTCCTGGCTTAGGGCCAGATTTTTTAAAAAATCAGTATATCATTTTGTGTGAGCCCAATGAGATGAAATTACAATTGAAATAAAAACTGAAAAATACAGCAAATTAAACAACTCACCTTTACACAACCAAAAAGTCAAAAAGGGAATCACAAGGAAAATCAGAAAATGAAAACAAAAGCATAAAACCCATACTTATGAAGGAAAAAGTAGTGCCAAGAAGGAAATTTATAGTTGTAAACACATTCAAAAAAATTTTCCAATCAACCTAAGTCTATTAAAGAACTAAAAACAAAACCCAAAGCCAGCAGAAGGAAAAACAATCAATGATTAGAATAGAAATAAATAACATAGAGACCAAGAAAACATTAGAGAAAAATTAATAAAACAAAAAATTATTTTTTGTGGTTTTGGAAATCAAACTTAGAGCCTCTAGCATGCTAGGTAAGGGCTCTAGCACTGAGATATGCTCCCAACCTGAAAAGCTGGTCCTTTGAAAATAGCAACAAAAGTTTAGGTAAATGATCTAAGTAAAAAAAAAAAAAAAAAGAGAAAGTAAAAAGGAGAAAAGAGAATTAACTAAACTGAGATAGTGAAAGTGTAGCCATTACTGTCAATTACACAGAAAATTAGAATGATTAGAAGAGACTATTGAGAGCTACTGTATGCCAGCAAGTTGGTTAATTAAGTCAATATAATTTTTAGAAATAGAGAACTTAACAGAAGTGAATCACCCGAGTAGAAACAGTTTGAACAAATTATACAATGGGTAAGGACAGTGAATCAGCAATCTAAAACCTCCCCACAAGCCTAGTGCTGCGCACACCTGTAATTGCAGTTACTAGGAAGGCTGAGGCAGCAGGCTCGCTGGAGCTCAGGAGTTTCAGAGCAGTTTGGGTAACAAAGTGAGGCGAGGCGGTGGTCTGAATAAACATACAAAACCAAAAATTTTCAACAAATAAAAGTTTACTGATGAATAGTAGCAAACATTTAAAGAAAAATTAAAATCAATCTTCCTCACACTCTTAAAAAAAAAAAAGGAAGGTGGAACATTTTGGATGAGATCGGGTGCATTCGGGTGGTACAGCCATAAACGGAAGGTGGAACATTTCAAAGGTCATTCCATGAAGCGAGCAGTGACAATGAAGTACTCGACAATAATTAGACTCCTTCCTTAGCCCGTCACAGTGGCATGAGCCTGTGTCCTGGGTAATTTGGAGGGGCAAGGTGATTGATTGCTGGGGCCAGGAGTTTAATGCCAGACTTGGTGAAATAGCAAAATCTCATTTCCAATAGAGGGGGGGGGCGTCAAAGAAAAAATTTAAAAGAAAAAAAAAGTAATTAAATAAACATCGAACAGCAGGCGCAGTGGCACACTCCTGTAATCCCAGCAGCTCGGGAGGCTGAGGCAGGAGGATCACGAGTTCAAAGCCAGCCTCAGCAATGGCGAGGCGCTAAGCAACTCAGTGAGACCTTGTCTCTACTTAAAATACAAAATAGGGCCAGGGATGTGGTTCAGGGGTCGAGTGCCCCTGAGTTCAATCCCTGGTATCCCCCTCCTCCAAAAAATAGAAAGAAAGAAAACCAGAGTGAATAACTAGAAAATATTAGCAAACTCCAGTGAGCATCTTTGTTCCGATTTTTTTTTTTTTTTTTTTTTTTGGTGCTGGGAATTGAACCCATGGCCTTGAGCATGCAAGGCAAGCAGTCTATTTTGCTCCGGGATTTTTAGTTGCCAAGAACTTTCAGTTGGTTGGCAACACTAGGGATTGAACCGAGGGCCTCGTATATGTAGGTAAGCAGTTACGATAGAGCAACATTTCCAGCCGTACCTCTTTTATCACCGCAATGGTTAGGGTCAGTAAACCAGCACGACTGCCAACCCAAGAAGCTCAGCTACTGGGTAAAAATCAATCATAGCTGACCCGATTTCATTCCAGGGACACCATCTGCGTATTGGGTTCCAGATTCTTCTCTACTAACCGGTGAGGCCCTAGGGCTTCCAGAGTCCTGCCTGTGAGGCAGAGGCAGGGACCCAAGCCTTCGAGCCAGAGGGGAGCACAGTTTTATAAAGAGCCTTCTAAGCAACCCACGGCTCCCTTCTCCTCAGAACCTCACTATCATAGTGGCCGACAAGCTACACGAGGCCGCTTTCGATGAGGGTGCCTTACCCGGAGCTCGAAGCGCAAGTGGCCCTGATGGAATGGATGCGCAGGCGGTTAGCCATATCCCGCAACACCTGCACTGTCTTCTCGTCGGGTCTGGCCTCCTTGGCCATCAAACTGCCAGCCTCAATATCAGACATAGCTATGATAGTGTCTGTGCTCCGCCAACAAATGTGGCCGCTGTGCTCTCACGTCTTCACATAACCTATGCCCTGCCTCGTGCGCGGGCAGCTCCCTCCGCGGGCTTATCCTTCCGCCCCCGTCGCTGCTTCCGCACGCCCATGTGAATGAATATTAAATATTTGTCAGTACATATTCCATATTCTACAAAATAATTACATTTCTTTATATCTTTCCTTATGTTCTTAGTTCTAATCCCTTTAGTTCTATCCCTTTGAGGATAGTATAGGATGGTCTTTTGGGGTGAATAAAAAGTTCTGGAACTAGATAGTGTTGGTGATTCTCCAGGTAGTGACTAGGCTAAGCCGCATCACATGCTTTAAAATAGTTACAATGTTAAAGCCGGCGTCGTGCGCATTTCCCGGCAGAATTTAAAAATTAACTACCGGGCTGGGGTTGTGGCTCAGTGGGAGAGCACTTGCCTAGCACGTGTGAGGCCCTGGGTTTGATCCTCGGCACCACATAAAGATAAATACATAAAGGTATTGTGTCCGACTACAGCTAAAAAAATATTTTTAAAAAAACATTGACACTACAATTTCAAAGTTAGCCAATCCTCACGCACAGCAGCCCAGGCTCCAAGATGTTGACGCAGGCTCAATGTGCTGAGCTACGGCATCATTTCTGAGCCATTTTACTTTCTAGAACTTTCTCTGGCACAAACCGCATTTGACTGCTGAGGTAGCTGTTAGCCCAGTGCTAGTCTGTAACTTGACTGAGTAGTCTGTCTTCAGTGAGCTCCTTTCACTCAGAATTTCACACTTTCTGTCTGACATACCGCATCTCAGACTAAGCTTCAAACTAAACACCACTACGTGAATATCCTATAGCTACTCCCTCCGACTTTCAGATGGTCTTCCCTAATTACCATGAATACGCAACTTTGAATCCAGATACTGCAATTTAGGTAAAACATGCTAAATTCTTCCACAAAAGCTTCAAAGTGTCTAGACTCCCACATTCTTACTGTACTAAAGGGTATGTACATTAAAAAATTTAATAGATACTGCCTAAATTTGCAACAAAAAACTGACCCTATTTATCTGACTACATGCAATATATGACTACAGGTTTTCCCCATATCCTCATCAACAGTGGGTGTTGTCACTGTTTTTGATTTTTGCAATTATAACTAATGACAAAGTAGTATTCTTCAATTTACAAATTATTGTTCAACTTTTTGTTGCACATTTTCAGAACAGAAATTGCCATTTATGATTTATCCTGTCTGAACTCTCCCTATTATCCTTTATTATCTTTATATCTGATTGTTTTTTAAAATAACTTCATTTTGTTTATTTATTTTTATGTGGTGCTGAGGATCGAACCCAGGGCCCTGCACATGCTAGGCAAGCACTCTACTGCTGACCCACAACCTCAGCCCCATATCTGATTGTTTTTTCATGGCTAATTTGTAATAATTCCTTAAATAGTATGTTGATTGACTCTTTTATCTATTCCACATATTCCAAGTCTTTTTTCCTCAATAGATTCCTCTTTTTAATATTGAAGGACATATTTTATTTTATTTATTTACTGATTTGTACTACTAGGGATGGAACCCAGGACCTCATGCATGCTAAGCAAAGGCTCTACCACTCAGCTACATCCCCAGCCCTTTTCATTTTCTTATTATTTTTTAAATTTGAGAAAGGGTGTCCTTAAATTGCCCACACTGGCCTCAAACTTGTAATCCTGTGATTTCAGCCTCCCTAGTAGATGGTATAACAGCTGTGTGTTATCATGCACCTCAGATACCTTATTTTAAAGGCATTACTCAAGTGTTTGAGCCAAAACCTAAATGTTCCTTCTTTTCAACTTTGGGTTTTTCTCCCTCTCTACACAGAAGGTTAGAAAATATTGTACATAATAAATATGTAAATCTTTTCCCATGGTATTTTGGGTTGAATCTTACAAAGGTCATTTCCACTGAAACTATATAAAATACTTTATTGTGTCTTTTTAATACTGTCAAAGTTTTTGAAATAAGTTTTTTATTCATAGGCCATTTATTTATTTATTTATACCAGGAATTCAACTCTGGGGAGCTAAACATCTGCAGCCCATTTATATTTTATTTTGAGGCAGGGTCTCGCTAAGTTGCTTAGAGCCTCACTAAGTTGCTGAGGCTGGCTTTGAAATTGCAGTCCTCCTGCCTCAGCCTCCTGAGCTTCTGAAGTTACAGAACTTTGCCACTGCACCTGGTTACTTTCATAGTTTTAAAATGTTTGGTTCTTTATTCTGTATGGATCTTATTATTGTGAAGAAGTAGTCCATTTACCCAAGGCCTTATTTACTATTTTTTCAAAGATCACTTAGCTGCTCTTTTGCATTTTATCTTCCAAATAAAAATCAGCTATTTTGGAATCAGTTATTTTAAGATTCATAAGTCATTCTGGTTGAGTTTTTAAATTATGGTTTTATGAACTGTGTAGGTTACATACAAGACTGGCTGCCTCATTTACAATATTGCGTCATCTCCTCAAGAACATGGTATACAGTTAAATCACATTTTATTGACATTCTATTTTATATTTACTCTGATATCTCTGATATCTTATTTCCTCCTCCTCCTCCTCCTCCTCCTCCTCCTCCTCCTCCTCCTCCTCCTCCTCTTCTTTTCATACAGGGAATTGAACTCAGGGGCACTTAACCACTGAGCCACATCCCCAGCTCTATTTTGTATTTTATTTTGAGACAGGGTCTCACTGAGTTGCTTAGTACCTCGTGGTTGCTGAGGCTGGCTTTGAATTTGTGATCCTCCTGCATCAGCCTCCTGAGACTCTGGTCTTATTTCTTTTTTTCTTTAGCTTTAATCAGTTATACATGACAGTAGAAAACTCTTCAGTTCATTGTACACAAACAGAGCAGAATTTTTTACTTCTCTGGTTGTACATGAAGTAGAGTGACATCATTCATGCAATCATGCATGTACCTAGGGTAATGATGTCCATCTCATTCCACCATCTTTCCTACCCCCTTACCCCCTGCCCCCTGCACTTTGCCCCATCCAAAGTTCCTCCACTCATCTCATGTCCCTCCCCCCACATTATGGATCACCATCCACCTATCACAGAAAACATTTGCCCCCTGTTATTTTGGATTGGCTTATTTTGCTTCATATGATGTTTTCCAACTCCACCCATCCACCTGCAAATGCCATCATTTTATTCTCTTTTAATGCTGAGTAATATTCCATTGTATATATATACCACAGTTTCTTTATCCATTTATCTATTGAAGGGCATCTAGGTTGCTTCAACAGTTTAGCTGTTGTGAATGGAGCTCCTATAAATATTGATGTGGCTGTGTCACTGTAGTATGCTGATTTTAAGTTGGCTATAGACCAAGGAGTGGATAGCTGATTCAAATGGTGGTTCCATTCCAAGTAGTCTAAGCAGTCTCCTTACTGCTATCCAGAGTGGTTGCACCAATTTGCAATCCCACCAGCAATGTATGAGTGTGCCTTTTCTCCCACATCCTTCCAACACTTACTCTTGCTTGTATTCAAAGTGAAATTAAACCACTATCTCTCACCATGCACAAAACTCAACTCAAAGTGGATCAAGGACCTAAGAATTAGACTGGAGACCCTGCACCTAATAGAGGAAAAAGTAGGCCCAAATCTTTATCACGTCGGATTAGGCCCCAACTTCCTTAGCAAGACTCCTAGAGCATAAGAAATAAAATCAAGAATTAATAAATGGGATGGATTCAAACTAACAAGCTTATTCTCAGCAAAAGAAATAATCAATGAGGTGAAGAGAGAGCCTACATTTTGGTCTTATTTCTTGTGTTACTTCTTTCCTTCCTTTTTTTTTTTTTTTTTCCTGTTTGCTTGGTTTGTTGTTTCTGTTGATATGGTCTTGCTATGTTGTCCATGTTGGCCCCAAACTCCTCGGCTCAAGCAATCCTTCTGCCACAGAGTCTCAAGTAGTTGGGACTACAGGTGTGAGTCACCATGCCTGCTTCCCTCCTCTTCTTTTCATTAAACAAATTCCATTTCCATTCCGCATGTTTGTTTGGATGTTTTGTATGTGGTTTCTGTTCTGTTGGTGTTTACCTTTAATTTTTTTCATTCAACATATTTTTTCTCTCAATTTCAACTTTTTTATTGTATCTATAAACTTACTCCCAGAACAAGTCATAAACAAATTTTTATTTTCCGTGATTGAAACTTGCTCTTTAAAAAATTATTTAGTTAACCGGGCTTTGTGGCACATGCCTATAATTCTGGAAACTCTAGAAGCTGAGGCAGGAGGATTGCAAATTCAAAGCAATCCTAAGCAACTTAACAAGGCAAGTGAGCAAGACCCTGTCCCTAAATAAAATATAAAAAAGGCTGGGGATGTGGCTTGGTGGTTAAGCATTCCTGGGTTCAATTCCTGGTACCCTGCCCCAAATTTAGTTCTTATATTTGTCAATAGTGTACATGAACATAATTTAAAGCCGGTTAAGCAAAATTTTTCTGTAAAGAGCCTGTGAGTATTTTAGGCCACATGGTCTCTGTAACTATTCAACTCTGCCCTTGTAGCAGCCATAGGCAATGAGGAAATGCAGGAGCATGGCTTGAATCTCATATAATTTTTACCTAGTTTGAGACATTCCAGGGCTGGGGTTGTGGTTCAGTGGAAGAGCACTTACCTAGCATTCGTGAGGTACTGGGTTCGATCCTCAGCACCACATATAAATAAAACAAAGGTATTGTGTCCACTTACAACTAAAAAATAAAAATAAATGTTAAAAAAATAAAGGAAGAACTGAAATTTAGAAAAAATTTTGATTTAACTATCGAAAAAGATTAAAAATCACTCTTAGTTTATAAGCCATACAAATATAGGCAGTGGGCCTTTGGAGCCTAGTTTGCTGACCCCAAGTTCACAGTTAGTTACTTCTACAAAATAGCAATCCAGGGGCTGAGATTGTTGCTCAGAGGTAGAGCGCTTGCCTAGCATGTGTGAGGCACATTAAAAATAAAATAAAATAAAGGTATTGTGTTCATCTAT